GGGGAGAAGGGTGCAACAATGAATGAATGGAATTCCAAAATCTCTGTAGATGTTCATTGAAATGAAAAATAAACAAACTAAATTAAAATTTTAAAAAAAAATATCTTTATTGTCCCTTTAATTTTGAAAGATTGTTTTGTTGAGTGTAAAATTGTATGTTGACAGTTCCTTCTTTTATCGTTTTGTAGTAATTCTTCTATAGTTTTAAATTCAAAGCCCTTTGATTTTTAAATTTATTTTTTTCTCTTCTTCTCAACCACTTTTAATGTCTTCAGTGTTCTTTATTATTATTATTATTAATTTTAATGAATGTTTACAGAGACTTTGGATTTCCATTCATTGTTGCCTTTTTCTCCCTGCCCTCCACCACCACACCCCCAGTTCACTCTTCTCTTTGAAAAAGAAAAGAAAAATTCTTTCATTGTTATACAATTCCCCCTGCCCCAACTGAGTCCATTCCAATATGCAGCCTTCATTCTGGATTTTTGTCATGATAATAATACCAAATCATATATGGTTTTTAATCAGCTCTCACCCTCATTTGTTTCAATGCAGTATACATAATTTATCCCATCTTTCTCAGTCTCACCCCAACCCCGATGTCAGTCCCATTTTACAGTAGTGACATTAGGTAGGATTTGTCCTGTTGTGACTGAGATACTTCACTCCGCATAATATCCTCCAGGTTCATCCATTTTTGCATAATATTTCATGAGTTCCTTGTTTTTCAATGCAGCGTAGTATTCCATTGTGTGACTATACCACAGCTTTTCTAGCCATTCATTTGTTGATGGACACTCAGGTGGTTAAAGAAATTTTTTAAAGTTAATTAAAAGATGCAACAGATAGCTTGGCCAATGAGGAGGAATAGAGAAGATTTAGATCTTCTGACATACCCTGAAGACATAATAGAATTTGAGCAAATGGACAAAAGGGCGTTGAGTAATTGTGTTTAAAAAGAGACTTACACAGACACAGAAGGTGACAAGAAAAAATGACAAGAGATGCCTTCTTTTCAAAACCAGAATTTTATATGAGAATCACTCTCTTGATCTCTTTTTAGGAAAGCAAACATTTTGAATAATTTCCTCCATGACAAAGATACTCTTGTTTCTTGCTAGCCGTGTTCTCGCTCAGTATTTCAGCTCCTTGGTGGTAGCTGAGGTTACACACTGCCCCCCTCTGTGAGTGAGGTGTTAAGATTGTTGCTCAGACCAGGCTGTGTTAAAGGATTCATGGCCTCAGCTGCCTCCTCTGCGAGCTCTCTCACTTCCGGAGGCTCTGTCCTCCCTGACCACCTTCTCCTGCCATTGCTTTCCGCAGGCCTGCTATACAGAACCTCTACTCTTTCAACCCCTTTGCTGATGCAAGAAAGGGTGATGACCTGCTTCTGAGTGGGACTGAGGATTATATTCATATAAGAATTCCATAGATAAATGGAAAGAAGACCTTTACAACTGTCCAAGAGATCGCTGATGATTACCATAAAAGGAAACCATCACCATCACCCAAGCAGATGTGTGCACACCATGTTTATTGCGGTTTTGTTGACAATAGCAAATAGCTGGAAACAACTCAAGTATCCAACAACAAACGAATGGATAGAGAAGCTGTGGTATAGTCACACAATGGAATACTATGCTGCATTGAAAAACAAGGAACTCATGAGATATTATTCAAAATGGGTGACCCTGGAGGACATTATGCTGAGTGAAGTATCTCAGTCACAAAAGGACAAATATTGCATAGGGCCACTGTTGTAGAACGGACTGACATCAGGGTTGAGGGAAGACAGAAAAGGAGGGGGAGGAATGAGGTATACTGCATTGAAACAGATGAGGGAGACAACTGTTTAAAAAGGATATATGAATGGGTATTCTTGTCATTACAGAAGTCTAGAGTGAAGGCTGCATAGTGAAGTGGACTTGGGGGGAGGGATTGCATAACAATGAAAGAGGTTTACTTTTCAAAGAGAAGAGTGATTGATTGGGGGAGGGGTGGGCAGGGAGAAAAGTGCAACAATGAATGACTAGAAATCCTAAGTCTCTGTAAACTTTCATTAATATTAAGAAATAATTTTTTAAAAAAGGAAACTCATGAAGGCATTTAAGAATAAATTTGCCTGCAATGGTGCTGTAATTGAGCATCCAGAATACGGAGAAGTTATTCAGCTACAGCAAGAACATATGCCAGTTCCTTGTAGAGGTTGGACTGGCTGAGGACGACCTGCTGAAGGTTCATGGGTTTTAAGTGTGTGTGGCTCACTGAAGCTTAAGTGAGGATATCCTTGCAATGAGTAGAAAATCTCCCTTCTTTCCCTTGTCAGAAGTTTAAAACTTCACAGTTTGTATAGTGTAACCATTTGGGGTCCACTTTTAACTGGGACTAGTGTAACTTTTTAATGCAATAAACTGAAAAGAGAAAAAAAAAAGATACATGGGATCTTTCTAGTCTTCTTTACTGTCTTCCTAAATTGGCTGCCCAGAGAAATCTCACAAAATGTCTCAAAAGAAATATTGTTCCAAACGAAGCCTCAGAATATGCCAACATTTGTACTGAGGACGTGTCCTTTTTTGGTGGGTATTAGTGCAGGGAGTGAAGCTCAGCATTATCAACAATAGCAAACCAGTTGCTGTTGAGTCCATTCTCTTCCGACTTGGTATTACAATTAATTTTAATTTTCACTTTTTTCCACCAGAGGGCAGACTAGCCCAACCAATAACTTTCTAGAGCCTCGTGCCCCTCTTCTTTCAAAAAGCAGTTGGAATTCATTGAATCCTATGAATGGAACACTAACACTAGGATTCTACGACTGCCCTTTGCTCAATCCCAGCTGGGACCGTCTATTGAGCAGATCCTCCAAGAATTACTATCAGTTTTTGACAACTCCTATACCTTCCTTCACCCTTGTTTAATCCTTAGTTGTTGTTATGTGCACTCTAGTCTCAGGGAGCTCTGGTGGCTTAGTGGTAAGGAATTGAGCTGCCAACTTAAAGGCAAGCTGTTCAAATCCACCAGCCACCATGGAGCAGGAGAAAGATGGACAATCTCCTCCCTGCAATTTAGCTGTTATTGTTGTTACGTGCCATTGTGTCAACTGTGACTCCATTGTTGTTTACCACTACCCCATTGCCACAGTCACTGTAAGCTGCCCTTTTACCCCTGCGGGAATGATGTCCTTCTCCAAGGACTCAGCACTCTTGATGATACGCCCACAGAATGTGAGGTACTGTTCCACCATCCTTGCCTTTAAGGAGTGCCCTGGTTTCACTTTCTGCGGGACAGACCTGCCCGTTCTCCTGGCAGTCCACAGGATATTCAGTGCTCTTCTCCAGAACCATAATTCAACGTTTCAGTTATCCTTCTGTCATCCTTGGTCATTGTCCAGCTCTCAGATGCATAGCAAGCAATTGGGAAGATCATGGCCTGGATCATTCTGGCGAGATCCTTGACAGCAAAGCTTCCCAGGTCATCTCTTCCCTGACTGCTGGTGTCAAGAGTGTTGACTGTAGACCCGAGCAAGATGAAATCGTTAACAATTTCTATCTCTTCTCCATCTATCATCACACTCCCTGTTGGCTCAGCGGTGAGGATTTGCGTTTTCCTGATGTTGGGATGTAATTCGTACTGAAGTGATTTAGAGCCAAGGAAAACCTGCTGGAAGGTTCTGACTCGATGGAACTCGGTCAGAGCGGACTCCTCGCTGGCCCTGCGGCGGGTTTTCAGAGGACAGCCAGCGAAGTGCACAGGAAGAGATTGCTCTTCCTTCTCCCTATTGCCTCGCTTGCTCGGCACTCGGTGGATTCGAACCTCTGGCTTTTGGGTGGGCAGCGCATTTCAATCCTCTACAATTACGCTTCTCCTGATTGTCCTAGGTAAACCTTCACCCCAGCCTCCCAGGCCTCGGAAGGGGATAGCGGGTTTGAAAGAGTGGTCAGCTGGGCCTGCAGGCAACAGCGAGGGAACGGCTCGCGGGGCGGGGAGCTGGGCTGGCCTCCGGGCGCCGAGGGGGTGGGCGGGCAGGGGGTGGGGCCCCAGGGTCCCGCCTCTCCCTCCTTCCCGGAGCCTGGGCGGGGAGGGAGGAAAACTTCCTGGCCGGGGCTGCGGGCCCTTCTGCCGGCCAGCCCTCCAATCCCGCCCCTTCCCCGCTCCCCCCAGTGTCCGCCATGGCCAAAGCCTACGACCACCTCTTCAAGCTGCTGCTCATCGGGGACTCGGGGGTGGGCAAGACGTGTCTGATCATTCGCTTTGCTGAGGACAACTTCAACAACACTTACATCTCCACCATTGGTGAGCCCACCGGCCATGCCCCGGACCCCCAGCGGCCTCCCTCCCCCTCAAATGAAGTTCCTAAACTCCAGTCTCTCCACTCGCGTCCCATATCCCAGGCCCCGGAGCTCCCTGGGATGGCCCCAATCCTGACCCGGCTGAGGCCTCCCGGGAACCCTTCGCTGGCTGCCAGCCCCCCATTTTCTTGGTGCCCAGTCTAATCTCCCCACATGGAGAAGAAAACTTTTCTGTTTCCCTCTCCGTCTTCCTGAGCCCACCTAGAACTCTCTTCATTCACCCCCCGCCTTTCTGGGGCTCCTCTTCCTCCCTATCTGCCTCTCAGTCCCACTGTGGCCCCCTCTCTGCCCCTCTGAGCTGCAGGCTGATTGGATCTCCATCTTCCCATCATTTCCAGTCTCCCTGCCCCTGCACCGCAGCTCGCACGGGGTGGGCCGGGGAAGCTGGGTGCTCTGGAGGATGCAGCCGCGGCTGTGATCATGAATGCTTTCTGACTGGCAGGAGGGTGGAGGGAAAGGGATTTCTGGGGTCTCTGACTCAGCCTGATGACTCAGCCTCTCCCTGGGGCCCCTGCAGGCTGGGAGGAGGTGCCCGAGTTTCCACTGAGAAGGACGTTGCCTCCCCTCCTCCCTTCTCGTTCTTCATCCCCTCTGACCCGGGAAACAAGGCAGAAGAGTCTCCAGATAAATCTTAGAAAGGGGACAGAAAACTACCTCTCGTCCTTAATTCATTCTCAGGAAGAATCCCATTTAGCCTCCTCTGCGTTAGCTTTCCAGCCTGGCATCCCAGTTCATTCACACAGAATGGCCTCTGCTCTTTTTCCTCACTCTGTAGGATCAGGAGGGTGGGTGGGTGCCGATGGAGGAGGGTTCCAAGGAAACAGGAAGAGGATTCTCAAGTTATTATTTTGAGAGAGGTAGAGATTGAGCTGAAAAGGTAGTCAGCTGGCTGAGCGAGGCCCTGAAGTCCCTTAACCACTTTACACAGTGTTATGGCATCATCATCATCATCATCAACCCCCAGAAATCCAGAAAATGTGAATAAAAACAGCTGCTTGCTTTGCAAACAAACCTTTAAGAAAATTCTCCTAGTTTTACACTTGCAACAAAGTTGCTCCCCTGTAACTCTGTAAGGTCCTCCCTCTACAGAATTTCTAGATTTGCCCTGCTCAGTCCCTCTCCCTTCCACCACACACTTCTGCACCCTCACACTCCATGTCCTGACTTCACTGTACACCTCCCTCTCCCTCAGGAATTGACTTCAAGATCCGCACTGTGGACATAGAGGGGAAGAAGATTAAGCTGCAAGTCTGGTGAGTGAATCTCCCAGGACCCCTCTCAGCAGACGTTCTCCTTTTATTTTGCTAAATTCCTCTTCCTTTCCCTGTGTCTCCTTCCAACAGTTCATCTGTATCTTTCCCCTTCATTGGGCTGTCCTTCCAGTTCTCTTCCTGTCCTCCCAACTATTTTCAGTTTTGTTTTCATTAATGCTCTTGACGCCCCCAGCTCCAGAGCATTCTCTGAATTTGACAAGAAAAACGTTTTGCACTAGAATATGGAATTAGACTCTCAACAATTGAGTGACAAGTAATAGGATCACAACTTGACTGCCAAGTCCAGGGCTGTCCCTAAAGTGTGGAGCCCTAGAAAACCAAATACAGAAATGTGACCTGCCGGGAGCTCTGGTGCTGTACTTCATAGGGCACTGATTGGGCTGCTAACCCAAAGGCCGTGATTCTCTGGTGGTTCATTTACTTCACCTTAGGAAAAAGATGGTCCTCCTGTGCCAGGTTACTCAGAAACCCCACGGAGGGTCGGCTGTGAAACCATTCCGACCAGACAGCAATGGGTATGAGTTGTGTCATGAAAGGAAGACCTTGAGAGTGTTTAAGTGACATGAAGCTTAATGGAGTGTGGTTGTGGTTGTTAGGTGCCGTGGAGGTGAGTGTGACCATTGAGAGAAACATTATGAACAGGTCTGTAACCCTGTGCCATCCTCACAACCTCAGACACCCTCCAGCCATGTGATAAATAAAAATAGACCGGGTTCTAATCCTAGTCCTCTTACCTGTCCTGTGAACATCTGTTTTTAATTATTGTGATGTTAATAAATTTTACGGAAAAGTTGGATTTTCATTGTTGCACATTGTCCTATGACCTTCATTAGTCATTCCGCCTCTTCAAATGGATTTCCTCATTTGTAAAACAGATACAACAAAACATGTCGCACAAGGTCACAGTGACAAGTACATGAAATGATACACACACAGCGCTTGGCAGAGTCAGCGCTCAGGTCATAAATAAGACAGATCTTGTTCTTGGGCCTCTACCATGTCTCAACACCCATCCAACTGTCTTCCATCCTTTCACTGTTTTCCAGTTCTGTTTCTTTAACTATGTGACAGAAGTTAAGTTCTGCAGGTGAATTCTCTCCTTGGAGAGTCCCTTCTCTCTCTCCTAACCCTGGACCCCTTCCACCTCTTCAGGGACACGGCTGGTCAAGAGCGATTCAAGACAATAACGACTGCCTATTACCGTGGAGCCATGGTACAGGGTCTTGAGAAGGGGTGAGGGGATGGGGCAACAGAATGCAGGTTTGTGTACAAACGGTCAGGAAAAAATGGAGGGGGGACACAGTGTGAGCTGCAGCGGGCCTGACACGATGTGAAGTGGGGTGGGTGGGCAGTAAGAAGCTTAAACCCAGAAAAATCCCCCTCCATCCAGGGCATTATTCTAGTCTACGACATCACAGATGAGAAATCCTTTGAGAATATTCAGAACTGGATGAAGAGCATCAAAGAGGTGAGAACCCACCTAAAGGGGTGGGAGCTTTGGGAAGGGAACTCAGGAGAGCCTGGAGGAGGAAAGAGTGGTGTTAGGGCGTAAGGGTTTGACTCTTCTCCCCCTCTTGTCCCCAGAACGCCTCGGCTGGGGTGGAACGCCTCCTGTTGGGAAACAAATGTGACATGGAGGCCAAGAGGAAGGTGCACAGGGAGCAGGCCGACAAGGTGGGGGCCCCGGCGAGGCTCTGGAGCTAAGCTGGGAAGGTCTGGCTGAGGCGGGATCCAGCAGCACTGGCTGCGGCCCTTGGCGACCAGCTGCTCTCTCACCTTACCCCACCTTTCCACAGTTGGCTCGGGAGCATGGAATCAAATTTTTCGAGACAAGTGCCAAGTCCAGTATGAATGTGGATGAGGTGAGACTCCCCCCAAAAGAGATGAAATACTATAAAATAGCTTTATCCTCCTCTCCAATCGATGATGACCAATCTCTGCTTTCATTCTTTTAGGCCTTCAGCTCCCTGGCCCGGGACATCTTGCTCAAGTCCGCAGGCCGGAGACTGGTGAGTGGGTTCTGCCGTGTCCAGTACAACTCAGTGTGGGTGAATGTGTGCGCGCACTGGGGTAAAACCAGAGGATCAATGCTTAGACTTCCCACGAGGGTGGAATCCCTTCAAGAAAGTTCCTAGCCTTAAACCCTCGCCAGCAATTTCCACCCTGACTTCTGTGCCCTTCTCCCTCCAGGGAAGCAGCAACAAGTCCCCCAGTACTGACCTGAAAACTGGTGACAAGAAGAACAGCAACAAGTGCTTGCTGGGCTGAGGGCTGCTGCCTGCCTCCGCCCTGAGCCCTGAGGCTGGACCTGAGGGAGGCAGGGCTGAGGGGCCAGGTGGTGGAGAACATCTGAAGGGGCTGAGAGGAGTAAATGTAGAGGGAGAGGGAGAAGGAAAAAAGGAAAGAGGAAGAAGGAAAAGAGATACACTAGAGAGGGGAGGAGCAGCGGGAGAAGGGAAGGAAGTGAAAGGAGGTGAGGAGGGGGCAGGAATTGAAGGAAGAGGCGAGGGGAGCGAACCCCCAACCCCCTGGGCTTCCAGGGCAAACCTAAATGTAACTGTATTGACTTATTCTGTTACTGGATCAGGTTTTAGGGTCTTAGGAGTGGCTGGCTCACCACCGCCCTCTGAAAGTTTGGTCCTGTCCTGTCACTCTTCCTGGTCTTTCTCAGGAATAAAGGCCACATTTTGCACAAATGTCCTTGGCTTGGGTAACTTTCATGATTGTCCCAATTCTCTCAGAACTCCACTTCCTGCCTCTCCAAAGTGCTTGGTCGGCTGAATCTGGCTGTGCTCTCGTGTCAGCAGGGCTAGTGTTAAAAGTGCCCCTTCCTCAGCTGTTTCCTAGAGAAAACTTTAGGAAGGAGCTGGAGGTGGGTGGCCTGAAGATCTGGATATCCTGTTCCCACTCTGAGGTCCAGGGGACCCTGTGGATAAATGTTTGTCCTAAGACCAAGAGATTCCAAAAGAGAAGAAGGATCTTCTGTGGGCCTCAGGGCCTTAAGAGCTCTATCTCAAGGAAACAACAAGGACTAGAATCATTTACCAAGACTCCTGCCTAGGGCCTTAACAGCTCTATCTCAAGGAAACAGCAAGGACTAGAATCACTAACCAAGATTCCCGCAAGCTCCTTTGATTCTATCAGCAGTCCCTTTAGGTAGCTGCTAGTAAAGTATCTGCTTTTACTGATGAAAATAAAAAGAAGAAATGCAGATGGTCAAATATTTATTGAACATCTAGGTGGCCTAGTGGCACTGAAATCCCAAAAGCACACGGTTCGAGGCCACCAGGTCCTCCGCGGAAGAAGGATGGGCAATCTCCTCCCCTGAGATTAACTGCCTCTGAAAACCCACTGGAGGGTCAGCTATGGGTTGGTTCCAACTCTGTTACACAACAACAGTGGGCCAGGCACAATGGTAGGTTAACATAACCCTTAGATGTTCCTTATAGGCAAGGATGGTGCCACTTGGTCTTATATACTTTGGGCATGTTATCAGGAGGACTAGACCTTGGAAGGGCACACAATGTTTGGAAAATAGCGCAGGAGAGAAAGACCCTTAAGGAGGTGGACTGACACAGTGACTGCCACAATGGGCTTAAGCATAGCACAGATTGTAAGGATGGCATGGGGTTAGACAAAATTCAAGTCCTTGTACATTGGGTCACTATGTTGTGGTGGTGTTGTTGTTGTTGTTGTTGTTGTGAGCCATTGAGTCAGAACCAACCCATAGCGGACCCTCCAGCAGGTTTTCAAAGGCAGTAAATCGCATGGGAGGAGATGGCCAAGCTTTCTCCTGCAGAACAGCTGGTGGATTTGAACCACATGCCTTTGTGTCAGCAGCACTGCTTCTTACCATTAAGTCACCAGAGCTCCCTGGATGACCATGAGTCAGTTACCTCAATGGCACCTAACAACAACAGTAACAGTTGATGCTTGCAAGTAGAGGGCCAAGCAAATTTATGAAAAAATTCATAACGCTGAATATCCAAGATTGCAAAACTTGGCATGCTAAAGAACAACCACTCCTGAAGCTTGATACACAAGCTCCTTAAGCACACTGACCCTTTTCACCTTTATACAGTATTTATTTTTAATTGTGATAAATATGTAATGTGACAAGTTGTTTGCCATTTCGACATTCCTCACTTCTAAGACTCAGGGCCATTAGTTATGTTTATCATGTTCAGTTTTCACTATTGTCCATTCCCAGTGTTCTCACCACCGTTAGCAGCTCAGTGCCCCCTAAGTGATGAGGCCCCCATCCCCTCCCTCCTGCCTGTGCCTACTATATGACACAGTGGGGGTTATTGTTCATTTTGGGTTTTTGGTGTTTTTGTTCCCTTTTAATATTTTACTGGTTTACATACAGTAATTCTTATAGGTTGTGTTTCATCATGTATATTGTGTTTATACAACCATTCGTATACATTGTATTTTATATCTTTTTTTTTCTTGTTGTGTACTGTCGAGTCAGATCCGACTGGCACAGGAGGAGATTGCCCATCCTCCAGCGGAGCATCTGGTGGATTGAAACCATGTATCATCAATTATTGATCTTTGCCTATCCACCAGCTGCTCAGCGGGAGAAAGATAGGCAATCTCTTCTTGTTACATTTACTGTCTCTTAAATCCCTCTGGAGGGTCAACTCCAGTGTGACATCACACAGCACCACCACCAACAGCATGCCTATTAGTACCCTATCTTTTCAAGTCCCCTATGAATCTGACCTTTTCCTTCATCCTCCCCCCTCAACTGGCCCACTAAGCTCTGCGAGACTCGTTCAATTGATATCAGAAATGCTACTGCTAGGAGAATGGGAACATTTAGGGACATTAGATTAACAGAAATCTTTTACTGCCATGTTTTTCCTTTCTCCTTCCCCTTTGAACACACACACACACACACACACACATAATTTTTTTTTTCTTGTTGTGTACCATTCATTGAATTGGATCCCATGAGCACAGGAGGGGATTGCCCCTCCTTCTGTAGCAGAGCATCTGGTGAATTTGAACCACATGCTTTGGGGATTACAGTGCAGCTTCTTGCCACTAGGCCACTAGAGCTCCCTTTCCTTTGAGCATTTATACACATCTTACTCATTTGTATTTATATTTTCACAATAATGATCTTATGCAGTAGTTTTCCTTATGAGACTGAGTTAATTGACTCAGCATAATGCTCTCTAGACTATCTCGTGTTATATAGTGTAGACTCAAATAGTATTTTACTAAATCATTGCTCATTAGTGCTGCATAATATTCCATTCTGTGAATGTGATATCTCAATCCTTTTGTTGATGAACATTTAGGCTGTTTTCTATTTCCTTGCTATTGTGAATAACGCTGTTGTGAACACAGGTGTACATTACACAGTGTTTGTTTTGTGTTTTTTAAACAGCAACATTATCTCAGATTTTATTGTTTATCATAATGCTTCAGATCCATGAAAATGTCAGATTTTGTTTCAACCAAATGTTATATGCTATCAAGTCTTACAACTCTGAGTGACCCTATAAACAACAGTTCAGAACCTCACCCTGCCCTGCCAGCACTGTCCTCATGGTCTTTAACACCTCCAGCCTGCTGTTCCAATCATTGTGTCACTCCATCTCACTGAGGGGTTTCCTCTCTTTTTCTGATCTGACTTTCCACATTTCCCAGCTTGATGCCTTCTTCCAAGGATTAGCCCCTACTGACAAGAAGCTCAAAGTATCCTCTAAAGTAGCCTCTAAAGACCACTCTAGGTACACTTCAAGACAGTTTTGTTCATTTGGCAATTCATGGAATATACAATATTCAGGTCACCAACACCTCAATTCTTACTTAGTATTCCAACTTTCAGATGCACAAAAAAACAAAAGAACATGGCTTAAATCAGGTACACTTCAGTCTTTAAAACTATTTAGGCTCTTGACAGCAGATTTGCCTAATGAAACCCATCTTTTGAATTCCTGACTGCTATTAACAAGGGTTTTGGGTGAGCTCTGGTGGCCTAGTGGCAAGAAGCTGCACTGCAATCCCAGAGATGTGTGGTTCAAATCCACCAGATGCTCTGCTGAAGAAGGAGGAATAATTGCCTCCTGTACCAGTCAGATCCAATTTGACAGTACACACATAAAAAAGACAAAACAAAAAAAAAACCACAAGGGTTTTAATTATGGATCCAGGTAAAACTAAATCCTTGACAACTTCAATCTTTTCTCCGTCTATCATGATGTTGCATATTGTGCAAAAGTTAAGATTTTTGTTTTCTTGAGCAGTTGCGATATAATTCAAATTTCAGTTAAGCAGAGACAGAGGATGCTGGGGCTGGAGGGGGCCTGAACTTCTGACCTTTTTTAGTAGCAGCCAAGGTCTTACCCACTGCCTCACCAGGGCTCCTAAAATGAACCATTGTGGTGTGTGCTATCAAGTTGGAACTGACTCATAGTTGGCCCTCCAGTAGATATTCAGAGGCAGTAAATTGCAAAGGAGGAAAGAGCCTGTTTTTCTCCTGCAGAGTAGTTGGTGGGTTTAAACTCTGTGCCTTTGGGATTGCAGCACAGTTTCATACCACTAGGCCACCAGAGTTTCCTAAAATGTACCATAAGAAGTTTTATTCATGGATGTCACACTCAAGACATTTATGGAATCTGCACCTCTGTGGTGTGGAAGTAGGCGGCACAACCCTGGAATCAGTAGCAAAGCCTTTCTTGTGCTGCTGTTTCTATTGGTAAAAAAAGCAACATTGAGAAAAGAATCTGTCAGTGCTAAGAGAAAGTTTGCAATATTTTGATAAATGTATGAAGTATCTAGCTGGTTTAATTTGCTCAAGAGATGATGGAAGTCTTGCTTTTTGTGATCTCGGGGTGGGGGGATGGAGTGGGGGGAGTGGGAGTGACATTCTTTTTAAAACTCCTAGAACAGTTATTTTAAAATTCAAGTGCACAGTTGTTATACACCTTGGTGTTGGAACTGACTCATAGCTGACCCTCCTGCAGGTTGTTAGAGGCTGTAAATCACACAAGAGGAGATTGCCCATCCTTCTCTCACAGCACCTGGTGGATTTGAAACACGTGCCTGTGACTTGGCAGCACAGCTCCTTTCCACTAGGCCACCAGAGCTCCCCAGTTGCAGAGTTGTTGTTATGTACCATAGAGTCTGAACCGACCGTAGCTGATCCTTCAGCAGCTTTTCAGAGACTGTAGAGGAGACTGCCTATTTTTCTCCCTTGGAGCAGCTGGGGGATTTGAACACCATACCTTTATGTTGATGGCACAATTCCT